CTCTTTTGTTGTTATTCTATGTTGTTGTTTTTCCAAAAATATCTCTCATCATTGGTGTGCGCCGTCGTCTATTTTGGTTACCAACCTTACGTTTGATCTCTAATCTACTTACACATTATTCCTCCTCTCTTAGATCATTGCGTAAGGTTATTCTGATTTCCTCGCATAAAGCGTTAATCCATTCCTCCATTGATTCCCCTTGCTTGTGGGCAATGACCTTAGCCTCAGTGTAATCCGCTAGGAATTCGAAGACTCTATTCTGAACATCGATATACTCCTACGTCAATTCCATTGTTCCGAAGGATCATACCCCCCTTAATATCGTGCTCAACCACCATGAAAGTGTTTAATTGACGGAATGTGTTCCACAATTGAGCAGGCAGCAGGGCAAACAAGACCTCGAAATCCTGTAGTGAATGTCGACGATTCAGAATGTCGTGAACCAGCCTATATGCTAAAGAACTCAACGGTCCTCTGTCGTGCAGTGTGTTAGGTTTCAGTTTACTAAACTGAAATAACATGTAGGCTAATTCCAGTACATTATCGAGATTCTTATCTCGAAATACGTTGTACTGTATGCAATCTTCCGCGTAGTCACCAACGATAACTGAAAATCCTTCTTCAGCCAGTCTCTGTAGAACAGTGGTCTTACCCAGGCAAGCTGTGCGTTCTAGGATCAAGGTTTGACCGAACTCCTTAAACATAATTCTACTCTTCGTAATAATATAAATCATAAGAAGGAGACAAAACGGAGGATGACTATCCATCGATCCATTCCACTGGCTCATTACGAAAAGCATTACGCAACCGCCCGATCTCTGACGGGTGTCGATACGATTCGAGACCCTTAAGCGTGGATGTTGATCTTGGGCTAGTGGGACTGCCCTCACTCGTGGACGTATCCCCGATTAGCACAATAGTGCCATTATCCCGGTGTCGTCAGAACAGTGATCCAAATCATTCCGAGTAAGCGGGGTTCTTGTTTGACTTAAAGGAAGGCCCACCTGTTCGAAAAGGTCTTCGCGTGACAAAGGAAGATTTGCATTCTCAAATTCTTGTAACCAGAAGTCCACTTGTTCGGGGGTAGAAGGACTGTTGATCTTCCTTAAATGAGCAAGATGTCTCGTCTGTACCTTGCCGGATTTGAAATCTTTAACTCGAGCGCTATAACCTAGATCACTCACGGAGACTACTCGCTGTGGAAGACTCCAACTCTTGGGGCTGATTTGTCTAAAATCTTTTGTGATCACCAAATCGCCTTCCTCAATTTGTTTATGACTCCTCTTTCTATTCTGAGATGCTGCGTGACGTATTGCTTGATCCTCCATGCAGGTTATATCATTATCTCGTCCACTATTGAACCACTCCGTCCTCTCAGCATTTGAATCATAGACTAGATCTCTCTCGTGGGGTAGCCACAGGTACACTGAAAAGCCAGTGTCCGGGTGTATCTTCTAACGACGTATGATAGCTCGTTCGATAGTGTTAGAGCAAGGCCTTCCTCTGGGTCTAACATCTCATTTTGTAGTGTGCGTTGATGATGTTTCCTAAGGTGCCTGTGAAACGATTCGACTGGGCTATTTCCTTCTGGGTGATAAGGAGTGATTGCCACAAGATCACTACCAATTAATTTAGCTAGCTCCTGCATCATTAGACCTTGGAATTACCGTTGTCTGATATGATCTGACGAGGAA